TATATATATATATATGTATATATAGATATACGACTGTTAAGATGATTGACATTCGATGTCCACTTCGCAACGAAGCGGAAATGCTAGTTAGTGCCAGTTTATAAGGGCAATGAATAAGGACTAACAACTGCATTCATTAGTTCTGAAAGGAAAGCTGCTCGAGTCTGGTCGAATCCTCTGGCCTGGTCTGACAGAGCCAGAACTGGCTAATTTGGCCACATGATGACGGACCGGGCCAAGCCGATCCGGATCCAGTTCGCCAGTCTTCAATTTAACCAGAATTGAACGCGTGCACTGAGTAAAAGTGTCTTCAACATTTTCACCAGTTAATGCTGAGGTCTCAATGAAGTGTAGATCGTTCTCACTGGCAAACTGTTTGGCCTCCCAATGAGTAACTTGGCCATGTGTTTCCTTCAAAATCAAAGGGGATCGTATTTTTAAGCCTGAACTAATTGAATAAGTAATTGCTTATACATTTAAAATATGACGTAAGACATGAAACAATTCAATTGAATTTATGGACATCGCGAGGTCCAATGTGGAGAATTTAACTACCCGCCTTCTCAATGTAAACGACCTAGTGATTCGAATTCTTGTCTGAATTTTAGCCAGACTCAATGGAAAATAACCAACTCTCTTTGGCATGAACCATAAGTAGTCGCATCTAAATTTCCCAGTGTTTATTCCTCAAGATATTTTGGGTTCATAATTCCCAGCGCCAAGACAGTCGTCTCGTTTATACAGACCTCGAATGAAAAAAGAACATCCGGCTAATATCAGACTAGGTAAGACAACATTCTTATTTCATCATTTTTATACTCGACGTAAGCAACTATGAGGCCAATATAAATTTCTACGACTTCGATGTCTAAACATATGTCTAAGGAATTCGCTTACTAAAAAGTGCTTGAAAAATAATGTTCACATCTTTTGTCTTATCCATAATTATAGCCAGTTCAGAAGCCCTAGTTGCATCATTAAAGTTTTCAGGCTAAAATTTAAGACAAAAGGCTATCTCCGGACAGAAAGAAGTCCTTATCAAACGCTATCGCATCTACCGCCCATTATGGAAGACACAATAAGCCTTCACAATGGCTAATTTAAAGTTTCATAGAAGTATGTTCGATGGCGGACAGACTACCATATAATGCTAGCAATTATATGCATTTTTAGCCGCATTAGGCAAAGGCTGGTAGTAATAATAGATACATCATTTCGCTTTTCGTCAATATCTGCAGTTCTCCGTAGTTTCAAATAGATAAATGACGAGGCTTTAATCAAGAGCAATATTCTTTTGTAAAAAAGTGATTTGGTGGTTTAAATGCTCACATGTCAGCAACTCCAGCTCTTATGCTCAAAAGTCTTTCAAAATGTTTTCACCATGTCACTACACTGTTCTTAAGGTATTTGCATAAGCCCATCACTGTTCTAATTGCGAAGAATCTTCTTTCCCTTACTCCTTAAAAGGCCTTTGCTGCTGTAACTGATAAGCCATAATCACAATGATCAGCTCACCTTTGAAGAAGCTCTAGAATAAACTATAAGGGAATCTATGTATATTCAGAGTTTCCACTTAGATTCCGTTTTCGCATTGTGAATAGTCTTGTATATTAACTTTAATCCTCACCCGGGCATTGAGGTAACTTTCAGACTATTATTCTCGAAACCTTCGTTCCATTCAGGCCTTATACCGAACGTATACAGAAAGGCTACCCAGAGGGCCTGCTTAAGCTAATCTGAGATCCGTTTTGATACAAGCGTTTACAATAGTTTGCATAAAAAGTTAATGAAACGACTAAAAATACTGGGGTAATTCACTTTAACTATGGTTAAACAACTTAATATTAGCGATTTTTCGAAGGTTTTTATGTGAAAGCATGACATAGGATATTTTTCGTCCCTATGTAGTGTTTCGAAATTATCAGTAAATCAGTTATGAGATGTATTCACCCTATTTTGTTTAAGGTGATGCAAGATTAGCAATTGAGTTTTGCCACGATGCTATGAATTGAGTTGAGGTTTCCATTAAATTTCTCATAGCCTCGCTTTCCCAAAAGGTGTTCTCATCAAGAGTGAACTGCAGTTTCGATCTCGCCTAGGTATTATCAGCACCCCTAGCTGGAGTCTAACAATGACAGTGAAACGTGGTGTTGACACGGTAAACACTACGCTACATTGCCACTAGCGCTTTTGAGTAACTGCGAAGTCGATACTGTAGTCCATCCTAGATAAGAACAATTTTGGGTAAAGCAAAGATATACGAAACTCAATGGAAACGTCAGCTCTATTCATATCATTGTGGAAAGAATCAACTACAAGTCCTTCATCAGCTTAAACGAAATATGGTGAACACATATCATATAGCATAAGATAATTCAAATAAGTTACTAGAGTAGTCTTAAGAATTCGAATGCCTGTGAAATCGGACTTCAGGATGGAGAGGAAACAGAAAGAACCAAGGTCTTTGGATCTTCCTATAAAGAGATTAATGTATTGGCCTTATCATATCTGTAAGGAAGACTAGTTAAATATTAAAATTTAACTTTAAACGTAATTGTTCTTTGTGCGCCGTCTTCCACCAATAAGTAAGTACTGGGCTAGTCCAGTTTAAATAATGTATTTTATGAAGTTACTATACAAAATGATGACTGAATTATGAATGGAAGTCCATAATGGATGTATCGACCTAAGGATATGCCAAGAAGACTAACAAATGCAAGTCAGTAAACGCACCTCCAAAGTAATCTACTATATAATTAGGATGAGGCATGTGAAGTAGAAACTGCAGTCTATAGTGGATGAGAAAGAATTTAAGGAAGCAAGGATAAGTTAAATTCAATGGCGTTTTGATAAATATTAAAGTAATTTAAGAAAACTCGATTAGCCCTTACATCACCTCAAATGGCATAAAATGATTGGAGCTTTTACTTAAATAAGGCAACTGCAAACCAAACTGGTTAATTTCTTCCTCTAAACGAAATATTATGAAACAAGAGGAGGTTAATCAAAGGTGTAGTTTAAGATGTGGTTATCATGCTTATAGCTTCATCCTGTCTTGAAACCTACTTATAAACGAGAATGATCAGATTATACTACCTTTCTGTATTGCAAGACAGAAGAAATAGTAATGTTAGTAAATGATTAAATCACAGATTCTTTCTATCAGATAATAGTGGGTAATATACTTGCCACAGGTAGTAAAATTATGATTGCTTGATACTACTGAGTTTAAAAGTAATATGTTTGCATACCAACGGACATCTTTAATAAAATATAAAAGATAAATGAAACTTTCCACCAAAATCTTTCACTCTAAATGGAGGTAAGCTCAACAAAGATAAATGATACCACTTTTAGTAGGATTAGTGTTTCGGTTATAATGAAAGAATAAAAAATAACTTTATTGTCGGGTTAAAAGTCCGTTTAAGGACGAGATAAAAAAGCTCGTATTAAATAGCAGTATCAGCTGTCATAATGGTTAAATTAACCAACTAAGGGGAATAGATCAGACATGCTGTGTAAAATTAAAATATTTCAGTAAAATCAAAAAATCAGATACATGAACATACCTGAAGATCCTTCTTATTTCCAACAAGTACAACAACAACACCCGGACCTGCTAATTGGCGGACATCACTTAACCACTGGCCCAAAGCGTTATAAGAATCACGATTTGTGATATCATAGACAAGCAAGGTTCCAACAGCATCGTGGTAATATGAACGAGACATACTTCGGAAGCGCTCCTGACCTATGGTAATAATATAGTGAGTTACAAATGGTACCAATACCAACAAATGAGATACATAAATAATCAGTCAAAATTAAGTAAGTGGCAAGTAAATTTTGAATGACATCCGGACTAATCCCTAAAAAATACTGAATGATCCAGGGGCAAAGCCATTAAAAAAGAATAAAATATAGAGTCAAGAGATAGAGCAATGTTAAAATGAGTATACATTTCCTTATTTTTTTAATTATGAGTCAATAGTTAATTCGGTCCTGTATTGAATATTAATATTCTAAATCAATGTGTTAGCAAGAGTAAACAATAAATCACTTTTCCTTCAATATAGTTCAGCTTTGACTCCCAAAAGGCCTTTATAATCACATAGAGTAAAGTAAGCTCGTATTAAATATTTATTGATAACTTCGGAACGTAGTCAATAGGAATATGAAAATGTGTAATTGTTTTAAGTTCCGTAAAGGCGCAGTATAAAAAGAATAATTCACATCCCGGTATAGAAGTAGGACAAAAGCGAAACAAGCATAGCTAATTACATGGGAAATGATGAAGATTAATAAATACCAAACTATACTTAATGATAATCTATGATATTATTAGGAGGTTTAAAGAGAACTTATTATGAAAATTAAATGTGGTAGTACTTCACTAGTCTTACAATACAGGTAAATTCTCTGGGCTTTAATAAAAATTGATCTAAGGATAAAGTAGGCAGCTTTAATAGTTGAAGGTTTAAAACACTTTTTTGGGTCTAATATATTCTTATTTAATAACTTGAAAGACGGTTATAACTTTTTATGAAAAACTTGATTCTATTGAATAAATTAATAAAAACAATAGAATGGAATTAATATTGAGTTTCGAAGCCGCTTAACATATTTCAGTGTTATAAGTTATATAATAGTCCAGCCAAACAGTATGCTTCAAAGTTAGTGGTCAGAATAAGAGAAAATACAATTAATACGTGAATAATTAACCTAAGGATAAAAGCAAACCAGAAGTGTTTTTAACTCATATCCTTGGCTTAGGCAAGCATAAACAAGCATAAGATTTAAGAGAAATACAAAATCTTGATAGATACTTCTACAAATTAATAAAGATTATAAGTACTATGGATCACTGCATACTTGTTTATTGGAATCGACAACTTCCGTAACCTCTAAAAATTACAAATTTTATCAGACTCTCCCCAATTAACTCTAATACGATAAATATAAACACAAAAACAGTAAGCGGATGGGCGATAATAGAAAAAGTAGCCCATAAATTCGTGTGACAAAGCACTTTTTTATCCTTTGATTCCAATTACTGATATTGAATTCCTATTTGAGTAATCTAAGAAAAAGTGGAGGTTTATCGAACAGTTACAACCATCTTATAAATTTTGGTAGATCGGAAATTTTTCTTTTTATTCCCAAGCTAGTCACTAGAATATGGGCTAATGAAGCGTCTATATCTTATTTATGTAATCAAAGAGAGTTGTATATTAGCACTTGAGCTTATTAGAATAAAGTATTAAAAGGATTTTCGTAAATAGATAGTTTTTATAAATATCCACTTTAGCAAGAAATAATGGTGGTGGAATCTATAGTTACTAATAAATGGACTTACTCAATAGTGGCTAAATAAAAAAAATCCATTTCAAATGGATAATTTCAGTGTTCATCAGTTTTTTTCGAAGAATGTATGATGAACTCGAAATAAGTTAAAATAAATATTATAACGTTATATTCTAAAATAATAGCCAAAGGTAAAATGAGAATAACTCATAGTTAAG